AAGGAAGTCATAGGTTCCAGTGAAGAGGTCAGGGCTATTGTTAAGCAGATGTGATGTGCTCTGTAAATACTTGTGGTTTTGCCTATAGATTGTTAGAGCTGCTAGTACACTTGGCTGGTCACCAAGAGTAACTTCTTTCTTCACAGTGGGCAGTGGTGACTGTGGAGAGTCATAACCAGTCAAGCTGGTTAAGAATAAATGACTGTCATTGTGGCTCAGCCATAAATAGAAGAAAATAATTGCACATTTATATCACCTCAGTCCTCTCCCTACAAGGCTCAGGAAACAACACAGGAACAGGGGAAGGGAGAGTTTAGGAGGGAAGGAAAAGGCAGAGTGGTGTGTGTGTGTGTGTGTCTGTATCTCTGTGTGTGTGTATTTATCTCTGTGTGTGTCTGTGCATCTGTGTGTGTTTTCATCTCCCCTGGAGGAAGAAGAGAGGTTCATATGACTTAGGAAAGTCATACAACTTCAGGGCTTAAAAAACTTATATAATTTTGTAAATTTATGAGGCCTTGCCCCGAGATTATATACAAGTGACCCATTGGTGGAGCTACCTGAGAGTTATACCAAGGGATGGTGTTTTTATGCTTCTTCACCATGAAAAGTAGGCTTTTCAGAGATACTGCCACCTTTAGTCACCCATGTTCCTGTGAGTAACTGCTTGCTTCTGCTTCTGTAAGTAATTCCAGGGAGCTCATTTGTTCATAGTATCAGTCAGGGTCTCCAGAGGAACAGAACTGATAGAATGAATCAATCTCTCTCTCTCTCTCTCTCTCTCTCTCTCTCTCTCTCTCTCTCTTTCTCTCTCTCTCCCCGCTTCTCCATCCCTCCCTCCCTTTGTCCCTCCTTCCCTCCCTCTCTCTTCTATGCATGTATGATTTATTAGAATGGCTTACAGCTGTGGTCCAGCTAGTCCAACAATGGGTGTCTACCAACAGAAAGCCCAAGAATCCAGTAGTTGTTCAGTCCATGAGGCTGAATGTCTCAGCTGGTCTTCAGTGTATGCCAGAATCCTAAAGAAACAGGCTGTAATGCCAGTGAAGGAACGGGCTTGCTAGGGAGAACAAGCAGATAAAGAGAGAGCCAGCTTCCCTCTTCTATGTCCTTTATATAGATTGCCATTAGAAAGTTCGGCCCGGATTGAAGGTGGATATTGCCACCTCAAAGGTCCAGGTTAGTGGGTCTTCCCACTCCACATGATTTAATTAAGAAAAAGCTCTTCACAGGTGCCCCCCAGCCATGTGCGTTCTAGTTTCTTCCAGATGCGGTCAGGTTGACAGCCAAGATAGCCATCATACTCACGACGTAGACTTGGGTGGAGCTGTTTGTGTCTTTTCCTGTTGTCAGTGTCCCCATCTAGAGTGTGAGTTTGTTCATGTTTTCCCGGCACACCTCACATAGCACAAGGCTTTTGACTCGGGGTAAGGGCAGATGAACTGGGTCCTGCTTTGCCACTTGACCCAGAGGTGAGAGTGAACCTAAGACCTCACATTCCTGAGCTCCTCTTTTCCATCTGAGAAGTGGGAGCGATGCAGCCTTTCCCCTCAGGTTTGAGAGCGCAGGACAAGGCATGTATGAAAGGTCTCCGCATGCAATCCCTGGCCACAGCATATTTCCTTCAATGTGAGGCTAGGGTCACGCCGGTGGGTGAGGCATCGGGGTTTCAGGGAGTCCTAGAGCTCCTTCCAGGGGGCACCCACACTGGGCAGGGCAATGTCGTCTCTGGAGCCCGGCTCTTCAGTTCTTCCGTTGCCTCCACATACCTTCTGTCTGAGACGGCGGCTTTAGAGCCTCAGTTTCTCCATCTGAGATATGAGCGGATTTGTTTCTCATGAAAGCACGTGAGAGACTTGGAGACACTCACTGACCCGTGGAGCAGAGATCAGCCACGAGCACAGGGTGAGCGGTGAGCTGGGTGTGTGCCTCTGCTTGGCGAGTCGCCAGTCAGCAGACTCAGCTCTGAAGAAACGTGGTCCATCTGGAAACTGCAGTGTTGGTTACTTCTTTCCTTGCTGCAAGCAAACGCCTGGCAGAAGCAACTTACGAAAGAGAGGGTTTATTTGCGCTCACGGTCTGTCAGGCTGGGAAAGGTGCAGTAGCTAGAGTTTGAGGTGGGCAGTCACAGGGCACCCTCCGTCAAGAGGCAGGGAACTATAAATGAAGGTGCTCAGCTCACCGTTCCCTCCTTATTCGGTCCAGGACTCCAGCTGGTGAAACGGTGCCACTCAGAGCTAAGGCGGGCCTTCACATCTCCAGGGCCATCACCATCTCACAATCCCTCTGAGCCACGCCCAGCGACTGGCCTCCTAGGTGACTCTAGATTCTGTCAAATAGGAAATGATTAGCATCACAACTCCACCGCTTGGCGACTTAACCCCCAAACACATCGTTCTAAAACCATGCTGGCCTCCTCTTGTCCCCAGAGACTCCTGGCCATCTTCTAATGCAAAATGCATTGAGTCTAACGTCCAAAGTCCCCATAGCCTTTAATGATTCCAGCACAGTTTGAGAGTCTGAAGTGCAGCCTGGCTCTTTCAGGGTGACATCACACATGCCTTTGTGGTTTTTGTTGGTCTGTGGTGAGGCCATTTGTAATCAGCCGGTTAGCTCCAGCCTCCTTCACAATCTGGCAGGAATTCACATAGGCAAATTCCATTGGGCAAACTTGTTTATCTGAGAACTTCCGGTCACAGTTGCTGTTGCCCTTTTGGTGAATGCAAACTAACCTGAAAAGCACAGGAAGGTATGCTGTATAAAAGAACTACATCTGGGCATCCAGGCAGTGAGAACTTTCATTAGGAACTACTTATAGAATAGAGCATAACACATATGTACACGTGTATTCCCCCACCCAAAAGGCACCGTCTTCGTTTTATTCTGTTGCTGTGATGTAGTGATCTGACCAAAAGTAACATCCAGAAGGGTGGGTGTCTTGGTCACTTCTCTATTGCGCTAAGGAGATAGACACCAGGGCTAAGGCAACATACAGTAGAAAGCATTTAATTGGATGCTGTCTTACAGTTTCAGAAGGCAGTCCCTCATCACCATGATAGGAAGAATGATAGAAGGCAGGCTGTTAGGCATGAAGCTCAGAGCTTTGACATCCAGATCCACAGACGGCAGGCAGACAAAGGGACACTGGACCAAGAATGGGTTTTTGAAACCTCAAAGCCAACGTCCAGCGATATACCTTCTCAAAGAGACCACCTCAACTCCAACAAGACCACACCTCCCCAACAGTCCACCAACTGGGAACCAAGCATTTGAACATACCCAGCACACGGGGGTCGTTCTCATTCAAACCATCACAGAAGGGTGTTTTTGCCTTACACTTCCAGGTCACAGTTCATCGTTCTAGGAAATCAAGGCAAAAACTCGAGCAGGAACTGAAGCAGAAACCAGAGGAACACTACTTACTTGCTTGTTCTCAGACTAGCTCTCTTACAGATGCATGCTAAGCTAGTTTTCTTATACAGCCCAGGATCATCTGCGCAGGGAATGGTACCACCCACAGTGGTATACTACACTATAATATTATAATATATTATATAATTATAATATATTAATTAATAATCAAGACAATCTTCCATAGAAATGCCCACAGGCCAAACTGATCTAAGTAATTTCTCAACTGAGGCTTTCTTCTCAGATGACTCTAGGCTGTGTCAAGTCGACAGTCAAGGCAAACACACACACACACACACACACACACACACACACACACACACGTCTAAAGAGCAAAGTCTTTTCTGAGACTCAGGTAACTCTTTATTGTGATCCTTTTAAACATCAAAAAACCGAATTGCCTACTCCCAACATTCGATGGTACAGAGTGAACAGTCTCATTACGAAAGGTAGGATGGGGGCCTAGCAAGGGATGATCTGACCAAAACAAACAGAAACCCAGCAAAGTGAACACCAAATCCTAAAGCTCCATGTCCAGCATTTGGAGCTTGGGATGAAACCATCTGGGCTCCAAAGGCCTCCCCCACTCCAGCTCTCCAGCTCTGCTGCCTGCAGCACACAGAGCCTTTCTCATGGGCTGGCTGCATCCCATGCGTGCAGCTTTCCTCGGTGGGTGTCCCATGGTCCTGGCATCTCCAGCATCTTAGGGATTCCACTGCTCTTGATAAGTAGAGATAGGCAGCAAAAGAAAGTCTTGGGCCAGTGGTAGCTTGAATGCACTTGGCCTAGGGAGTGGCACTATTAGGAGGTGTGGCCTTGTTGGAGTAGGTGTGGTGTTGTTGGAGGAAATGTCACTGTGGTGGTGGGCTTTGAGACCCGCCTCCTAGCTTCCTGGAAGTCAGTCTTCTCCTAGTGGCCTTCGGAAGATGTAGCACTCTCAGCTCCTTCTCCAGCCCCTTCTCTGCCTGGATGCTGCCATGCTCCTGCCTTGGTGATAATGGACGGAACCACTGACCCTGTAAGCCAGCCCCAATGAAATGTTGTCCTTATAAGAGTTGCCTTGGTCATGGTGTCTATTTGCAGCAATAAAACCCTAAGACAGGCACTATATAGAAGGTGTCCTCATACAGAATTGCCCCCGGGACAGTCACAGTCAGCTGATGACCCCTGAAATGAGCAACAGCTTATTCTTCACAGACCCCCATTCTGACTTTAAGGACAGTATCCCCCAATCTGTGGCCTTCTACCCCTGCACAGGAAAGCCCTGGCTTCCAACCACGTCAGCCTAACACCAAAGTTGACAGCTGGCTACCAGCTGCTGTCTTGGCTGCAGAAGCAACAGACATTCCCATGCACATATCTGAACGCTGCAAAACTCATGATCAGGGTGCTCAGCCAATTCAGTGGCTGGGGAGAATGTCCTTTTGGCTCACGGCCAGCTACCTTTTCCATGTGGCCCTACATGGTGGAACGGACACAATGTGTCACTTTCCGTTTCTTATGAAGCCATTAATATCACCCACAAGAACCACTCTGGCCCTAATCATCCTAAATGTTCCATCACAACATACCGTTCTTAGGAGTTAGGGCTTCGTCATAGGAATTTGGGGCCATGACTGTTATGTTTCAGTATCTGTTGGATGGCTGAGGGCTGACCAGGGAGTCTGGGAGCTGAGGGGACCCCCAGAGCTTCATTTTAGAATGTAGTCCATGAGGGCTGGTGCTGGGTCCACCTGGGGCCCAGGCACGCCATGGAACTGCATGTAGATTTTTGAGGTGTACTTGTTACATGGAAGGAGGGATCCACCACATATCTGTCCAGTGTGGAAGCAGGCTGGGCCTGAGCCAGGGTGTGTCTGACATTACCGGATTGCCTGCCTGGTTGGGCTTCTCCTTTGCTCAGCCTTTGTCCTCTCATTTGGACAATTATTTATGAAGTTCCAACTGTATGCCAAGGACCATTCCAAAACAGGGAGAGCAGTGAACATTCCAAGGACAAGCTGACAATAAACACAATAAGTAATTAAAATATGAAGTCAGGAGATGAAAGATGCCACTGAGAACAACAGGGAGCAGGAAGGGAGGAGACTGGGAAAGAGGGGAGAAGCTGGGGTTCCCGTAGACAGATGTCCCAGGCACCTCTGGGAAGGCGCCACTTGGGTAGGCCTGAAGGAAGACATGGAGGCATGTCTTCATGACAGGGAAGTCCCTGTCACACCCTCTCTTTAAGAGACGGAACTTCACTGTGGACTGAACCTGGAACTCAATCTAAACTGAGGCCTAAGCCTTCTGGGTTGGCTTCACATCTGTATGGCCAGGCCTAGCATGCAGCCTCAGATGCCAGCTTCAGGGAGAGCCTGCCACATGCCAGGAGGACCCACAGACAGGTTTATAATGAGGAGCTCATTTCTTCCTCCAATGGGACGGAAGGTGCTCTCACCAACAGCCCTGAAGATACCTGGGAAGGGTGTCCAGAAACCCAGGGCCTGGGCCTCTAGGGCCTACATCTGACAGTAGCTTGGATGGAGGCTGAGCTAGCATCAGTATGTCTGAGGTCTCCACCTGCTGAGCCTGGGTGAGAATAAGGGTTTAGTTAATTATTATTAACAGGCACTAACTGAACGCGTTAATGGGCTTCACGGTGACATTCCCACTCTCGCATGTACTGTGCTTTGATTGCACGGAGTGTCCGAGTTAGCACTAACTGTCAGGTGATCTGTGAGGCAGCAGTGTCTATATATACAGAAGGGGAGGGGCCTACTGCATGGATGGGGGCGGGGCCCAGCTGTGGCCCCTCCCTCACAAAGAGAGGGTGGCACCTCACTAAGGATGGGATCTGAGAGGGAACTCTATGACAGGCCAGAGAAAGCTCAGTGGCTCCGGGCCTTGCACCTACACCACCAGCCCCAGCTGCCTGACATGGGGGAAGGTTACTCCATGAAGCAAGCATGCAGGATGTGAAATCCATGAACCCTGATTTCCGACTCCTTCCAGGGAAGAGCCTAGAATCCACATTTCCCCTACCGCCTTGTGGTTTGTAACCCAGAAGGCCTCCATTTCTCCTGGGACTCTGCCTCAGAATCTAGTCCTTCCAGCCCACCCCAGGTCCCCTCTTCTTTCTGGGGTCTCTTTCCCTTTCTCTTCTCCAACTCCAGGGTTAGACTTGCCTGTCACTGGACCATCTCTCAGTCCTGACCTGGCTTTTGTCATATAAATGTCCTCTCTTGTGGCCCTCCACCTCTGTACAAAGAAATCCTGGCTTCTAACTGCCTATCCTAACACTGAACAAGGATCCCAACAGCTTTGGCCGTGGGAACCCAGGCACTCTCTCCTTACACATCTAGAGTCTGCAAAGCCCGGGGCCAGCAAGGGGATGGGTCCCAGAGGCAAAGGATGCCGAGGATCCAACAAGCTGTACCTACCTGTGCCAGGCACAAGGAAAGCATGTGCGAAGGCCCAGCGGTGGGCGAGGGCTGCCACTTGCATGAACTCTGTTGGGCTGTTTACCTATCTGTCTCTGGTATGTCACCCAGTCATCAACCTGGTGCCCAGTATGTGCTCAGTAAAATATTCTAGGTGGGGAGATGGGAGGATGGGGGGAAGGAGAAGAAAAGAAAAAAAAGGTAGAGGGAGGGAGGACAAGAGGGCGGACGGGGAGGGAGGAGAGCTGTGAGGTGCAGGAAGGGTGAGGGAGGAGGAGCAGCAGGCAGAGAATGGGAGGGATGGAGAAGAGGTTGGAGGCATGAGAAGACAGGCGGGAACAGGGCTGGAAGGATGGCTGAGAGGCAGTGACCAAAGCCCTTCCAGCCTTGTGTGCTACAGGAGCAGCAACCTGCTGAGTCCCGAGGGCTCCGCTCAGTTAACTAGGCCCCTGTTTTACTGCCGCCCTGTTTTGCAGCAGAAGCAATTAGAGGTAACGGGGCTCTAAGCCTCTCCCTGGGCAGCCCCACCTGCCCTGTCCTGTCCCATTAACTTCTAATTCAACAGCCATCCCCGACCTGCAATGTATAATGAAAGACATTCGAAATCTATCCAAATGGCATGAGTATTGATTTATTAATGCTGGGGAATGCTGCTCTAATTGAATTGAGATCCAGGAAGTCAGTTAATGTAGCTGACGATGCTACAGGAATTGAATTACCCCAGGGCCTGGAATTATTACCTTTTCACTCGCTTTGTTGTCAGTGGGATAAATAACAAATCAATCGGCAATTCACCCTGGTGGCAAAAAAAAAAAAAGAATTAAAAAAATAAATAAATAGAAAGAAGAAAGAAAACGTGCTCAGAGCCTAGAAGTATGCTGGAGCAGGCAGAGGATGGGGTAGGGGTAGGGGGCTTCCTGGAGGAGGAGGAGCAGGAGGGAGGAGAGGGGTGTAACCCAGCTGAGGACGCTACCCTGGTCCGTTCTTCTGGCCAGTGTCTCTTGTTTAGGCCAGAGTCCTTCTGTCACACACGCAGCAGACATGAGACTGGCCATGGCAGCGCACAGAAAGCTTCTCCTGTGCGGTGCAGGCTCAGAGACAGCCCAGGCCCAAGTCACACAGTGGTCGTTCTCCCTGGCCTCTGTCCTACTGGGTGCAAAGGCCTTCCTAAAGCTGAGCTCTCTTCTCCCTTGGCTTCTCCACCCTGAGGGTCTGCAGTGCCCAGAAACTTCCACCGGACAGAGGTCATGTCTGCCTAATGAAGGCCTAATGCTCTCCTTGCCTGGTCACTGAGAGATTTGTGAAATGGTTCTGGAAGCTTCTCTGAGGAGGAACGTGACTTTATAAGGAATAATTTCAGGCAAGGCAGATCTAGCCTTCAGCCAGCACCTTGTTCAGAATCCTCCTTCTCTTCCCGCCCTCCGGCCCCGCCCTGCCAACCTCCCACGGGCTCCAGGCCTCTCCATCCGAGGGACAGCTCTTGGGAAAACAGGCTCACCTGGCCAGTACGCCAGCTCTGTTCCTTGTTGATTTTATGTCCTCAGGGTACTGGGCTCTCACGCCTGAGCTTCAGTTTCTCAACCTATCAAATGCAAGCCCTGCAGAACCCGAGGCGTGGTCGCTCCAGTGTGCTCCAGAGGACACTGAGTGCCAGAGGCTGGCAAGAGCGCTCTAGGACCCCAGCCACCGGCCACCTCGGCTGCTGGCCGTCCAAGCGGGCATCCGTGAAGCCGCCGGGCTGGCCTTGTTCTGGTCAAGGAAAAGCAAGCCTGAGTTAATTAAATCAACAGCTCACACTGCAGGTTACCCACAGAAGTGAACTTTAGTGCCCCTCAAACCACTGACCAAAGGAGGGCTGGGAAGAAAGCGAAACCACAGTGGGAGTGAAATGGAAAAGAAACCAGCCGCTCCGCCTCACTTCGGCGGCCACAGGTATCAGAATATTAATTGGTCTTTGACTCGATTTGGCTGTGGGAGTCAGAGCAGGCTGTGGCTTCGGGGAGCCCGACAGCGCCATGGGGCTGGCGCAAAGCATGTCGGGAGCGGAGGAGGCTGGGAGGAGGCAGCCAGGGGTGGGGCCTTCTGGGCGTGGGCGGGCCCAAGTCTCTGCTGTTGCTTTGTGGGTCCTCCTGTGAGGCTGCGAGGAATGGGTGTGAGGGAGTGTAGAATTAGGAGTGGGCATCCTTGTGGGGGTGAAGAAGGGGTGAGTGCCTGGGAGTGTAGGGTCTCAGCCGCCATGTGCTGGGTACTGGAGACTCTCCCTGCCTGTCTTAGCACGAGAATCCACGGACAGGGTCTCATGGGGTCGTTGGGACATTACTTGCCACGGTGACAGCAACGGGACAAAGATAACATTGGCTTATATTAAGAACTAATCTGTAAAAAAACAAAAACAAAAACAAAAACAAAAAAAGGCCGGGCGGTGGTGGCGCACGCCTTTAATCCCAGCACTTGGGAGGCAGAGGCAGGTGGATTTCTGAGTTCGAGGCCAGCCTGGTCTACAGAGTGAGTTCCAGGACAGCCAGGGCTACACAGAGAAACCCTGTCTCGAAAAACAAAACAAAACAACAACAACAACAAAAAACCAACAACAACAAAAAAACTAACCTGTAGACTCCCAGTGCCCAGCACAGAGGGTGTCTTCAAGGCATTGGAGGTTGAATGTATGCTTCGGACAGGTGCCACCTAAGTGGCCAGCCCCTCTCATCTCCTCTTATCCCATGACTTCTTGGGGACTGAGCTGAAGCATCCTGGCTGGGGGGCAGGGGGACAGGGTCCAAGCCAACTGTAGATATTCATTTTTACCATGGCAAGGTACTTACTTTGTGCTGTGGCCAACGGCCATTTCTTTCTTTTACTAGTGGTGGTGGGTACAGACTGCGCCCAGCCCGTCCGCAGCTCCCTGGATGTAGAAGGCACATAGTACGGAGCTGTGGAGTTGGAGTGGGGCCAGGAGCTGATAGATCTTAACAAGTGCCTGAGTGGATCGTGCACTTCCAGGGAAGTTGTGGTTTGCAGCTGTGTCCCACACCCTGGCAGAGGCCACACCAAGGCAGGCCCACTGGGTTTACCAGGCCTCATCACCATAAACAAGATGGGCTCTTAGGTCATCCAATCTGACTTTCTGTTCACAGAGGAAGCAACTAAGGCCCAGAGAGGGAAAGGGACTTGTTTGAGGTAACACAGCAAGAAAGAACCTGGGGTTCCAGGCTTCGGGATCTAGGTGTCTTCCCTGAAGATTCTGTCTTTAGGGGTCACATACAAGCTGCAGACTGACCACGGACATTGTCCTCAACATTGGAAGAAAGGGAAAACCCTGCAAATTGGCCATTTGGGGAGGCTGTGCCTGGCCCATGGTGCAGCTGCTTCTCTGCACGTGTGTTGGCTTGGGTAAGAATAGCCCTCTTGGCTTATAGTTTTGAATGCTTAGTCACCAGGGAGTGGCACTATTTGAGAAGGGTTAAGAGGACTAGTGGGCGTGGCCTTGTTGAAGTGGGTGTGGCCTCATTGGAGAAAGTGTGTCACTGGGGGTGGGCTTTAAGGCTCCCAAAAGCTCATGCCAGGCCCAGTCTCTCTTTGCTTGTGGGTCAGGATGTGGCTCCTAGCTCTGTCTCCAGGACTACATCTGCCTGCACGCTGCCTGCACGCTGCCTGCACGCTGCCTGCACGCTGCCGTGCTCCCTGACATGATGATAATGGGCTAAACCTCTGAAACTGTAAGCCAGCCCCCAAGGAAATGCTGTCCTTTATAAGAGTTGCCTTGGTCCTGGTGTCTCTTCACAGAAGTAGAACAGTGACTAAGACAATGTTCCTGCCTCTTCAAGAGGGGCTGAGAGTCTGGCCATTCACATGATGTTTGGCAACTGTTGAATGGTGACAAAGTTGGAGCCATTTAAAACCATAGTGACACACAGAGCAAACTGTAGGGTGTACTTGGTAATGCTCAGGCATGGTGGGTGGAGTGTGGGAGGAAGTGAAAACCCAGAGTGGGTCTGGGCCTTGAGATGAGCTGCTGACTAATGGCATTCTTCATTCCTTCATTCCTTCACCCTTTTCTCAGACCAGCACAGTTTTGACTGTCCTTGACATTTCAACCCTGGGTGACTTCCTCAACATCCCCAGACCAACCTAGGGACATAAGGTTTTCTAGAGAATGCAGACACTAACTGGGCCCCCAGCCTCTTTCTAGAGAAGCATCAAAGGTTGCCTGATCCATGTAGAGCCCATTTCAGACAGACCCAGCCCCTAGACCTGGTCCCATTCCTACCCCCATGGGTTAAAATTGGATCAGAAAGTCACAGGTTCAAATCCTGGCTCTACCAACTGCAAGGTGCGTTTTGGGGAATGGCTGCTGCCCTCTTTGAACCCTGGAGAGAGACTCTGCAGACACGCGCTGGCTCCCTTTTCTCTTTGTGCATAGGACTGCTCACTGCAAATCTGAGACTCTACTGAGGGGACTCACAACCTGGGCTATAAACTCAGGAGCATCCACAAAGCGGCCTTCAGACACCAGGCACAGGCTGTCCCTGGGTCGATGCTGGCCTCCCTCACCTCCATGGTGATGATTCTGTAGTGTGAGTGCTGAAGGGAAATGTTTCCCGAGAATCTACGAGGACCCCCAGTGATAGTTCACTAAAGGGTCTTCCCTCCCCAGTCTGATTTGCCAGTTCCTTACCGGCATTTCCTGGTGTGGTTGTCTGAACCAAAGTGAGCATTTAGCCTGGAGCTGCTCCTGGGGGAGGCTCTCGGGAATCTCGAGTTGCTCGGTTGTCAAATGGGTACGAGGAGCGTGGCTTGGGCAGAAGTTGGAGGCAAACGGATCATCTCAAGCAGGCCAGACGGCAGCTTAGCACACTGCTGGTCTTCCTTGGCAGGCTGCAACTTCTGTTCCTAAAAAGGAGGTAGGAATGTCAGCTACTGTCTAACCCCCAGCGTCGGGTTTTACAGCATCGTTAAGTAAACTTGGCCAGAGAATAAGTAAGCTTGGCCAGTGCCTCTCACGGCCAGGCCTCTGCTTGCCTCATCCCTCTCTGGCCTTTAACTTCTCCAACCCTTCCCTGCCTGGAGGCTGGGGTTCAGATTGAAACCTCATATGGATCCAGCCTGTGGCTGCAGCCTTCAATGCCAAGGGCTGCTACTGCTTTCAGGGAGAAAGTACATGGGCGCTTTCCAAGGTGCAGGAGGTGAGGTTCCTGCAGGCTCTCCTAAAGCCCAGAGTCAGCATGGTATCTGCCCTACTGGTAGGGAGCCTGTGCAACACATACCACAGACAAACAGACACGCAGACAAACATACACCCCTATAGACATACACATATATACATACCCATCCATACCACAGACATACTTACCACAGACACAAACACATGCACAGCACACACATACACATACACACACACATACACGCACGCACACACACACACCCCACAGCATAACAATAGACACTCGGACTCCCCACATAAACATACCACAGACACGCAAACACTCTCCCCTCACATACAAAGCACACATAGACATATTCCCCCAGGCATGGGGCTATCTAGACACCCAGACATAGACCCGACAGACACTGGCTTTTGCTCAGGCACACATCCTAAAGTTCCTCTCAGGACCCAGCCTGTTATCTCCCAGGGAAGCTGTCTTAGGTCTGAGTCTTTGAGTTACTGAGAATGACCCCCTCCATGCCCCACTTACCCATTCCGACATTCCTAAGTTTGGCCTGAGAAGTATAGTTCTTCTTCTCTGCTCATCCCTTGGGGGAGCCCTGAGGCTTCCAGAACCATCTATACACAAGGAAACGGGACAGGTGAAAGGCCTGGGAGTCACAAGAAGTGGTGGCTGAGCTACCCTAAGGTCCACTTTCCCTGTCCCTAGGTCAATACTCTTCTGCAGTCTGTGCGGGGGCTGTGTCAGACAGTGAGGCCTGAGAAAAAGGCTCTGCTGGAAGGCAGACAGGGCCGTGTGGATCCCTGATAAACCACACCTGAAAGTGTAGACAACTCTCAACGATTTGGCACAATTCCTCAATTACAGGTGGCTGTGAGCTACTGTGTATGGGTGCTAGGGACAGAACTCAGGTCCTCTGTCACAACAGTAAGTGCTTAGCCGCTGAGCCATCTCTCCATGCTCTGGATAGTTTCAAATGACAGGTCTCTTAATCCTTTGTATGTAGAGGAACATCTGCCAGCCAGGAGTCTGTCCGAGGGCAGCTGGAAAGGCTAGGTCAATGCCACTTGAGCAGAGGATGAGCAATTCCTTTTTCTTTTTTTAAGATTTATTTATTTTATGTCTGTAAGTACACTCTCACTGTCTTCAGACACACAAGAAGAGGGCATCAGATCCCATTACAGATGGTTGTGAGCCACCATGTGGTTGCTGGGAATTGAACTCAGGACCTCTGGAAGAGCAGATGGTGCTCTTAACCACTGGACCATCTCTCCAGCCCTAATTCGGGTTGGTTCTTATTAGCCTAGGACAGGTCCTTGTTGGGGAGGGGAGTTCTATTGTCTGGGGAAACATGAGAATGGGGCTACTTGGTCAAGTTCTGTGAAACTAAAAAGGCACACAGGTTGAGGTCTGGCTGCTCTCAAGGACAAGAGAACGAGGGGCTGGTACTTCCCAAATGCCAGGCATGGTGGTGAATGGGCACGCATGTTTGCTTACTGCACACTTGACGGGCCCCAGGCTGCTGTCTTGGTTGGAATAAGTGACCCTGGAAAGCTACTCTGCTGGCAAGGGGTGG